ACTGGAGGGAAGATTGCCCCCTAGTGACCTACCAATACCTCTTCCAGCAAGAACTCTGTTTTCCGAGGAAGTCTCCCATCCAGGTACTGGCCAAGCCCATACCTGGTTAGCTTCGGTCATTCTGAAGATGCAGGGTTTACATTGGTATGGCTGCTGGCACCAAAATACTGTCACTGATGGCCGAATAGTTTTTTTAAGATTCGCTAAGAGTTTATAATGTAACCAATACGGTAGATCTCTCATGTGCGATGGGATGTACCAGGTTCTTGACGTCATTTTTGTGCCTCCATGCAGGCTTTGGTCGGCTTCATTGTTTGATCTCTGGCTTACCCCCTCGAGTTGGAGGAGGAGATGGGATTGGAGGAAGATGAGGAGGAATAAGGCGAAGTGGGAGTAGGGTGGAGGAGGAGTAGTGAGGAGGAGGAGGGAGGAGAAGGAGGTGGAGGATGAAAATCTCTGGCCTGTTCGAGAAAAACTGTCTCCTGCATATGTATGGTTATTTGAAGTTAAATAGAAGTATATTTGTATTTATGTGATCTGTGTAACGGTGCCAAGTTAAAAGTAGTTAGTTAGCATGCAAACACTGTGTCTGTGAAGCATAACATCTCTAACCAATTAAGCAGTAGCTGATAACTGTAATGTTAGTTACATAATCTCACATTAACAGTGATCACAACAATAAAACTTATATGAAACACATCACACATCAATGTACATTTACAAAAGCTAAACAGCCCTGTTCTTAGCCAAGTTAATGTTACAGTTAAACTATATGAAGCTATGCAATGCCCAGTATGTTACCAGTCCATAAAGAAAGAAAGTTGCCTTGATGTTGCTAGCTGTTAGCTGGCAGGTCCGTTGTGGATTGAGCCAGGCGGTGAAGAATTGTTTAGTTGCTTTGCTGTGTCATGATGATGAGAAGGTTCGGCCGCTGTGTCTGTTCTCTTCAGAGTCAACTGAACTGGGTTCAGGTATCTTAAGTTGGACCTTGTGTCGCAGCTTTAAGATCACAGAGTTCTGCTTGCAGGCTAAGCTGGAAGGCCGCTGCACTGTTGAGATGGGCCGGTGTCCTCTGGAAGTGGAGTAGAGCCAAGGGAGACAGGAGCCTAGAGGAAGAGGGTGGAAAATGACGAAAGTTCTGCCAAAATCACCAATGAACAACTTCACCACCGTGAGGTCCCTGTGATCCCAACAATTAGTTGTAGTTGCAGTAGTAGATACTGTTGCACTGGAGCTGCTCGAGTTTCCCGTGGATGAGATAAAATTTAGTCGGACGGTGCATTGTAAAATCAAAATCACAACAGTGTTACTTCATCCGCTGTACAGACACTTTGCTACATGTCTTTACTTGGTCAGGAAGTCAATACATTTCAGTTAGCTGTAGAGTTGCTACAATATCTAACCACATATTGCAAGTAAGATTGTATTACTAGAAATACAGTATGCTAAAGTGTGCGCATAAAACCTACTGTCACTCAAAACAAAAAAGAGATATATATATTTTTACTGTTGTTCTTTTTTGGTTCTGTTGGTGGTTAGGCCCAGACCCAGTCTGTCCAGGTCTGATTGCAACTGCATGTTCACCCAGGTCTGAATCACAGTATCATTCACTATATCATTTCAACAGCTTCAGATCTTGTAGCTGGTTACCCATCAGGCCTTGAACAATGGTGTCTCTCACACACGTGTAGCCTAAATGAAAAGATCATAGATTTAAAAGAGTTTTTCTAGAGACAATTTGGTATAAACTATTGTCATAACATTTTAACTGACAGCTTGTCAGACTTCTCTTAGGGTTGGCATACTTGGACCAGTACTCACAATAAAGAACATCATACATTTTGTAACTTTTTTTGCACTCTGCTAGTACAAACAGTATGCTCTGATGGATGTATCCTGTTGTAATGCATGTGACATTCATTATAATTTGGTATCACTTACCTAGATGATAGAGTTATACTTTTTAAAAGAACATTCCTCACAGGGATTGTAGTTACATTAATGATGTAAGTATTGTACATGAAAACAGTACAATGCAATAGTAGCTTCAGACCAGTTAGGATTCATTCCCTTTATTATGTATCCAAGTCAGTAACAAACACTGGGAAAAAACTTAAATTTAATTTCAGTTTCACCCTTTTTTTGTTGTTGCCAAAAACGTTTAAAGACCTTGTGAATATTGTTGGTATTAGCCGACGAAGAACAAGAATAAGACTGATGTATGTCAAACAAGGCCAAAGGTGTGTGAGTTTGATGCTGATGCAATTGTGGCTAACTGTGTAAGTGGAAATTTGGCTTGTGCAAAACACATCACACTTTTGCTCTGTGTATGTTGAACAGGATCAGCAATGACATGATCTATTTGATGGCTTTGCACTACGGTGCCTCCTGTGGACACAAGACACTGGAAAGCTTTATCAGTCTCATCCTTCGCCTGGACTGCATGGATAGTAAGTGAAGTCAAGTGGGAAATTATGACTAAAGATAATGATGGCGATGGAGCAGTGGATAAGACTCATTCCCTTGGTGTGGGAGACCTTGGTTTGATTCCCACCACAACATCCACCAATGTGTCCCTGAGCAAGACACTTAACCCCTAGTTGCTCAAGAGGCATGTGACCTCTGACATATATAACAATTCCTGTCAGCAGTTAATGGTTAGAACGTTTGACACGGCACAGCTGTTGATCTAGACTAGAAGAATAGAATGACACAACGTACTTATAATGATCATTCATTTAGCTGACGCTTTTTCCAAAGCGACTTACAATTGCTAAGTATGTCAGAGGTCGCATGCCTCTGGAGCAACTAGGGGTTAAGTGTCTTGCTCACACTTAACCCCTAGTTGGAGCAAGTTCAAAATAAACTCAAGGAGACATTGGTATTTGCGTGAAAACATAACATTACCAATCCTATAACACCAAAACACCTTTGTAGACTTTATGTTAGACTTGAGATGGAATCTAATTAGATGTTAAAATGATAGACTGCATTTTTAGTTTTACCAGTAGTAGTAGTAGTAGTTATATTGTAGGCTTATTTTTTCACTCTGTGCGGTACAAAAGTAAGACATTATACAAACACATTTCAGATTTCAGAGTATGACATGGGCTCATTTTAATTACAAAAGCAGTGTACACCATTTTCTAATGTTTTTTTTAATTAAAATAAATGTGTACCTGTAGATGTTAGAGTCACTGGCTTGATTTGTGCTGGACACCTTAGTTATCCACCTTAGTACCTACATCCTCCTCCCCTTTCTCGCCATGTTTCGAACAAGTTGATCTTTAAGCACAGTTATTGCTTTAGTTGACTCTAAGGTCCAGCTTAGTAATCGCATAAACTTTGGAGAATATCCAAGGTTGGATTGTTTGAATTGACAGTGATAGGTGAAATTATTTATTTAACAATCCATCATAAAAAAATATTATTTATGATGCACCATTTTGAGGGGATGTCAGTTTGGTTTGGATAAGTCATGAAGACTTTTTGGCTGTGTTCACAGACATCTGATAAAAATAGATTAGTGTTGCACTTCTGCCTTCTTGTGGTTGAAAATAGTATTACTGGCTTCAAACTGAGGATTTTACTGACACACTGTTAGCAGTCTCTAGACTTGAGACAAGAGTTGCAGAGCAAGTTGTAAAACAGGAAATGATTGGCTTCCTTTATTAAGTAATTTTCAATTGAGACAAAATTTAAAATAGAACAAAGACTTTATGTAAATAATGGACAAATGCAATCTTTTGTGTTCACATTGTACCTTACTTATGAAAGTGCTGTAAATACTGTGACAACAACCTAGATTTATTGCATATTGTTGTTATTGCATAAACTGTCACCACCCATTTAAAGTTTTAGAATTTAAAGTTTTAGAAAGATTTTTTTCTCCAGAAATTATGTTGCAAGCACAGAAAGTTACACTGCACTTACTAAACATGACATTACAACTGCACATTTGAGCAAAGCGTAAACTTTAGTGTGCAGTTATTTTGACAAGTTATAACTAACAATTCACCTCTTTTTGTTGACATTTAAGCCAGTTTAGTGACATCATTAATGTGCATGTTTTCAATAACTTTAATCTGATAATTAATCCACCTAGTCCTAACATATTATGTGTGCCCAGCTCCTGCAAGTCCCATTTGACATTAATAACAACTATGGCATTTATATCATATTGGGTTGCACTGCATACTTGTTTAAGACTTGTTTAAGTGTTCTGTTCTCCCTGTGCATCCACCAAAGACACACAGGTAGGTGAGTTTGAATCTCAGCATTGACTATAGGTCTGAACCTTCATGTGGATGTGTGTCATTATTAGCCCTGTGACAACATTTAGCCTATCCAGGATGAACTACACAGCTGTGGCAGGTAAAATATCAGGTTACCTCTGAAGAATTTCACAGAGGGCAACACCCTCTGCTGACACTACTCGCCCTTGGACGTTTGCAGTTCATAAAAGAACTGGAATTTCTTCTCTCAAACTTGCTGTTCCACTCAGACTCAATATTTTCTCTCTGTGGCTGGTGAGGTAAGATGAATTCATGCTTTAACTTACAGGTTAGCTACTTGCAGTATGATTGTAATTATAGGCTCTGATTCTATTGAAATTTTTTTTTATTTACAGTCATGCTTGACTACACAGTGAGGCAATCAAAGGTGTTGTTGGTCTGCACTCCTTTTCTTCTTATTACAATGGTTTATTTTGTTATCTGTGATGGAGAAAGAAAAATCTCAACTCATTTTCAGTAAAAACAACAACCTACTGTACTATCACCAGAAGTGATGTGGACAAGAGGAACAATATGATTCTGTGGTTCCTCTACACAATAATTTTTGTGGAATTTATAAAATTGCAATTTGATATATAAAGTAATGTGAAGATGTTTATAAAGTATGCTGGTACTACCTTTCTATGTTTACTGAAGTGAAATCTTTACTTTAACTTGTAGTGTTCTTCCATCACTACTTCCTTTAATGACAATGATTGTTCTCGATCTGCATTTTCTGAACAAAGCTCAAAGACTGCATCAATGAACATCATCAACCCATGTCTCAAGAAAGATGGTTTTGGGCCCATCACTAACCCTCTAAAGTTCCTCAAACAAGACTTCCAGCAGCTGAAAAACAACTGTCTCATCCAACGCTTGAGGTACACCGATGAGATGTTCCCACCTGACAGGAACTCCATCGGCGAAGGGTTACTGACCCCTGCTGACTTGGCCCGAGTGGTGTGGCTAAGACCAGCGGTGAGTGTTTTTATTGGCGAAAAACTGCAGATGTGATGCCATTTTGTGTTGAAAAAATGTTGATGGTTAAAGAAGCATGTTTGTTGTCATGGCCTTTGAACCAGCAGACAACTAAATCGATTCATTTGTAATTAGAACGCAGCTTCTGGTAAACCCTGTTTTACCAACCAAACTAAAATGAAAGTGACACAATGTTCACAAGATCTGTGCTTTTGAAAGTTTTTTAAATGTTTAAATGAGTGGCTTATGCCACCTGCTGGTCTCAGATTAAGGAAAAACAAGACGACACAAACTCATCCCAATAAGCATGCAGTTTTTCAAGTGCTTATGGCTACTTACATATCAAGCAGAAACAGGGCTATGTGTTCAATGTTCAATCTGTCACTTGTTTACTTAACTTTGATCTTTGTTAATGTTGGGCAGGTACAGTTAACTTTTCTTAGCTCCTGGGCTAACAGCTGCATCCTAAGATTGTGTACAAAGTGAGATTGCTGCTTAATATAATTGAAAACCACAAAGTATGCTGTTGATTCTCATGTATATTGTCAGCACTAGCAACCCCTTCACACAGCATTACTATAGTACAGTATGTATTTTAAGGATGAACAGCAAAGGTCAAAGACAAACCTGACTAAGCTAAGCAGGCCATTATGGTAGTGTACTGCTGTTATACTGTTATCTGACAAGCCAATATTAAATCTGTAAGTTATGTGTCAACAATTCGTCTCTTTCAGAAACTTGTTCCCAACCCATCTCTTGTTGTTGATGGGGTCTCCAGATTTGACTTTGGTCAAGGCTTGGTTGGTAGGATAGTTTTCTTCATTCAAAAAATACCAACAATGTGATATGAGATGAAAGTCCAGACAATGGGCAGAAAGTGTCACAGTTGCCGAGTGCAGAGTCAGGAATACACAAATACAAATGTCCAAAATGTCCTAAAGAGCAAACAACCAAGTCTAGAGCAGATGCAAAACTGAGCTAGTACTCCACAGAACTACAGAAACAGGCAGAACACTCAACAAACAGTCACAGACATGAAGCAGGAAACAGAGACAGATAATTACTGAACAAAACACACTGAACAAATGCAAAACAAAACACAATCCAAGACTTGTCCATGGACACCAATACAGAAATCACAAAACCCTAACACAAGGCAGAGACCTACATATTAGAAGATATTGTACAAATGTGTTTTCTGTTAGTATTCTTGACAGTTTGTAATCTGGAAACCCTTCTGTACACACTTTACTACTCTGCCTTTGCCTGCTTGGTTTACCTTTCTGACAACTCACTGAACATTTTTTACTCAGGAAACTGTTGGTTTCTTGCGGCTATCGGGGCTCTGACATTCCAGAATGACATCCTTGAGCAAGTTGTTCCTCGCGAGCAAAAATTTGATGAGGACTACTGTGGGCTGTTCCACTTCAGGGTAAACCAACAGTCATTCCCAACAGTGTTTGTCTAAATGTGTGTTGCACTGCTAAATGGTTATTATCCTCTCATTTATTTTCCTCTAAAACAGTTATACTCTTACTCTGATTCACTTGTTTCTAAACTTTTCAGTTCTGGAGATTTGGAAGGTGGGTGGATGTTGTCATTGATGACAAGCTACCAACAATCAATGGCAGACTAATCTTTGTTCACTCCAAAGACCCAACTGAGTTCTGGCCTGCTTTGCTGGAGAAAGCTTATGCGAAGTATGTACTAATGTATTATACATATACACAGTACTGTAATACAAATACCATATACATAAAATGCATTTTCTCAGAGTGAGATTTGTCGTACAGTTTTTCTCGATTGCTTAAACACATTTCTTGAAATTTTGCCTCTTTCTCTAAACACAAATCCACAACTTTTCAACCAATTCCCAAAACATCCTATTTTCAGGTCAAAATGAAGCTCTCTATTCAAAACCATTTAATCTTGCTGAAAAACCAAACTTTGCCCTCAGACATGACACACAAGCCCTCAAAAACACACATAGACTACAACACAGTCTTACACACGGGTGAGATAAATTCAAAACAATACTACAGAAACTGGTTATTAGTAATGTTGCTTGTGATTTGCCCCCTCAAAAACCTCTTCACATGATGAACACAACAAAAGAAACAACAAATGTAAACATTAGCACATTTTTATTCCTTAGTGTGCTGTACAGTACAACACACCAAACAACTAATTATTCTGCCCCAGCGTCTTGTCTTTGGTCTGGGACAGACCAGAGATTATTGTTCTCCACCTCCTTCTCTACTTTCTCGTCCTCCAACTAAAGAGGGTAAGCCAGAGATCGAACAATGAAGCCGACCAAAGATAACGTCAAGAACCTGGTACATCCCATCGCACATGAGAGATTTACTGCATTGGTTACATTATAAACTCTTGGCGAATCGGCCATCAGTGACGCTACTTCGGTGTTTGTTAGGTGAGCCTTGTAGGTGGGCAGATTTAACAGTGACGATCCAAGCCAGGCAAATACACTGAGCGAGAATACTTTTGTTTGTGCAGCCATGCAGCTAACAGAACTACAGTGTTCCTGCCATTGCTCTACATCATTAAACCACTCTTCCGCTGCGCAATCATGCGCAGTAGACACTGGTGCCAACAGGAAGTAGGCCTGTAGTGGTCTTTCATAGGGCCAAAATTGACAATAACTGTCTATACTCCAACTCTTTCTGTTCCTCTTCCTTCATCTCTTCCACCTCTCCCTTCTCTTCCTCTTCCTCTTCCTCCTCTCGGGTGTCCTCCACCTCTTCCTTCAGATTTCTCTGGATCTGTTGTTTAAAAACTGAATGAACTGACTCTGGCCCTTTTAGCTATCTATTGAAGGTTCTGATTGGTGTGTTACCAGTTTTGACTGTTTGTGTTTCCACCTGGGTAGCTGTGTGCTAATTGAGCTCAAGCTGTGCTGACTTGAGTGAACAATATTGAATGTTAGTGCTTTATAAATTACCACATGGTGTAGGCAATGAGAAATGAAGGGATTTTTGTGTATAGTTTAGGGAAATGGGTGTGCTTTTTGAAAAATAAGTTGTGGTTTTGAAATTTTAGTTCAATTGAGAAAAACTGTAATTCTGGAGTATCCGTCTAAGTAATTTCACTCCTATTTGTGTCAGAGTGTGCGGTTCCTACTTAGACATGAATGCTGGAACTCCAGCTGAGGCTTTGGTGGACTTCACTGGTGGTGTTCACATAAACCTCCATCTGTCAGACCGTCCTCCAAATCTGTGGGAAATGATGTGCAGAGCTTGCCAATCCAAGTCACTGATGGGATGTGGTACACCACAGGGGGTAAGCACCAATATACCACACACAAAACCACACACTAGTCAATGTCAAAAAATATCCACCCAATCAGAGCTGAGAAAACAAATATCAATTAAAAAAAGAATAAAGAAATAATAACTAAAACAATAGTAATGCCATCTGCCTCGATCCAATTGGGGGTGAGGGAGAGAGAGCAAGAAAGGGCAAGGGGTGTAGAAGCAAACACAATATCCACACAGAAATATAAACAAACAAACAAACAAAAATATTAACCATACTAATAATAGGACTATTAATAATAACAGTAGCAGCTGGTGTTGAGTAGGAACATGGGGGCTGCAGATGACTCACAACCACAGCTCTAGAGCCAGAAACACCTGCAGAACGTGATAGGAGGAGGAGAGGGACGAGAAAACACAAGACTACGGGAAAGGAAAGAAGTCGAGTTAGTAACATACATTAATGGGATGAGGTTACATACAGAGGGAGAGAAAGAAGAGGAGAGAGGAGCTCAGTGCATCATGGGAAGTTCCCCAGCAGTCTAAGCCTATAGCAGCATAACTAAAGGATGGTTCAGGACTCACCTGAGCCTTAAGTATAAGCTTTATCAAAAAGGAAAGTCTTAAGCCTACTCTTAAATGTGGAGATGGTGTCTGGCTCCCAAACCGAAACTGGAACCTGGTTCCACAGGAGAGGAGCTTGTTAGCTGAAGGCTCTGGCTACCATTGTACTTTTGGAGACTCTAGGAACCACAAGTAACCCTGCATTCTGGGAGCGCAGTGCTCCAGCAACATAACTGCCCAACGTGACTTACTGCGGTGTAAATATCACTTTCTTTGATGAAAGTTGTCCAGGCTGAAATATGATTTTCAGTAGCATCATTGTCTTTGTAGCCCTGTTGAGCCTCTACTTATCTTGTTTTATACTTGTCTAATGTTACTTGGCAAGAACAATTCTTTTTATTACACATGCTGATGCTTAAATCTTTTTTAATTTTTGAAATGTTCTTGTGAATTGAATTTATTATGTGTTTAAAACAAGACTACCTGCAATGATAACATATACAGGATCTCTTGTAGGAGACAATTGACAACATTGTACTACAAAATGGATTGGTCCAAGGCCATGCCTACAGTGTTACAGGTGTGAAACAGGTGAATAACTCATTTGTTCTAAAGGAATAAAGAAGGCCTTAAGTTGGCTTAGTAGTATTGGGAACAGTAGTAATTAAGTAAGCATATAGTAGAGTGAAGTTATCATTGTGACAAATAACGATTGTATTTTCTCTGGTGTTTACTGGTCAGATCACAAGTCGGGGGCAGCTAGTACACCTGGTCCGTTTGTGGAACCCCTGGGGCAAAGGAGAGTGGAACGGAGACTGGAGTGATCGGTAAGAATCACACTGAGTGCAGTTAGTGTTTCACAAAGAGTTTGCTCTCCGAAGATAGAAATCTCTGATTTGCTGCCTCTGAAGATAGATTATGTTCATTGTCACACAGAAGCACATTTCTTAAGAATGTTTTGTCAACAATTGATGTCAGCTTTTTGATGCTAATCTCCACAGTGGTATAGCTACTAGTCACCTACTATATTTTGTAAGTCATGTATAAAAGGGTTAACCCTTTTCTATGGCCAGGCTGTGTTCACTCAGTCTGTATGTTGTCAACATTTTTCTTAGTTTAGGACATTTTATTGTGCTCAGGTAATTTGTCAGTGTGAATTCTCTTTTTAGGGGCAGATAACATTGTAATTCACTTTGTGTTTTGGTCGTTTGATTCCAGTATTCAGAATATTTTGCTTTTCTGAATGGAGTTCAGCTCGATCAGGGCTAACTTGTTCACTGTAGCAGTAATGATGGCTGGAATAAAGTTACAGACACATCTTTTCTGAACTCACCAAGTAGTTCGACTTCCTTGCTTTCTTTTCTCGAAGTAATGTCCAGTTTTGTCCATTTTTTATATAAATATGAAGTAGTAGTCCAACAGAGCTCTGGGTGCCAACCGACGCTAACAATAACAGTGGAACCAGATGTGTACGGAAGCTCACTGCTGAGAAGATCGAGTAAAGATAATCAACATTGTAATCCCAAAAACTAAAGTAAAAAGCTATTTTAATGAAACCAGTTTACTCCAAGCTCCTCCTGCAAGTAAACGCCGTTGTTGTCAGAACATAGTCCAGTCCGACTACGGGTGTTTATTTGTCCAAAAGCTGCAGCTCTGCTCGTCGGCTTTTCCCCGCTGTTTAGTATCTCTCCGCCGTTCCCGTTCTGCCTGGCCTTTTTCACACAACGCTCTGAGGCCTCAGTGACGTCTGGATAATCTCATTGCTGATATGCTATTGCGTCTCAACGTCATGCGACTTTCTTTCATTGTCACTCCAGTTGAAAATTTTCAACTCACGCGAAGGCCTTCACACCGCCCGACAGGAAATCGCGGCTCTCCGTGTCTTTGCATTGACTTTGTATGTAAACACACCGACTTTTCCTCTCCTCATAGCTTACCAAATTGCCTATTATTTATACTTAATTATACTTTTCTTACTCACGGTTTAATCATCACTGCAGAACACACAGTTGACTTTTAGTGTTGTTTAAAGGAGCAGCTCACCTACCTCTGCTCTGCCTCCTTCGCGGGCCATCCCTTCATCAGATGCTGTTTAAAGTCAATATCAATAGATTACTATTTCTTATTTCATGGGCTATTTGGGGTAATGAACATAATGATTTAAAAAAAGAAGTCAATGAGTAGCCTAATCATGTCAAATAATTGTGACCTCAATATTGACCAAAATAATCGCTATTAAGATTTTTGCCATATTTGAGCAGCCCTACTTGTAATGGGAATTATGACTCTTTGACATGAGCTGGTGGTTATGGCTCCGTTCCCTTCCAAGAAAAGTCTCTTTCTGCTCCCAGACGACTCTTCATTTAGTACCACTTCTGCTGCCCACTGCCAAAGTTACATTCTTATTTGTTGCAAGATATAAATATTCAAGCTAAGTTGCGATACATTAAAATATCCTGTCACGTCATATTGAACTGCAAACAAGATCAATTATGACTCTTTCCTTCTATTTTTGATCCACAAAGGTTTTATATTTGTAAAACTTTCCTTGAGCTGATTTAAAAATCTGTTGAGTCATCACACTTTAAAGTCAATGGGTCGAGCGGGAACTCGCTGCCAGGGCCAGCGGCAAAAGACAATACTGCGCTTAGCGGTGTAGCACAAAATTCTGGGCCTATAAGCGGTCTCTGTGGGCCATCTTCCTCTCTTGGTCCCTATCTCTCATGCATTTTTTGAAAAATGTTTAAAAAATTATTGAGCTAACAACTGTACATGTTATACTGTAGTGGTGATTAGGGCAGTCACTAATGAACTGTTCTTACCACATTGAAACAACTGTGATTTGTACTTAAGTCTGCACAGTTTGAAATCTTATCACATTTCAACCCCTTTTTTCTCAACATACTGTATCCTAAAATTACTTTAATGGTTAAATGAGGTTTGCTTGGAGTATCATGCTTAAGAAAACATCATTTCATGTTAATTTAAACATTCATAATTCCCAAGGTATAAGACAAAGCAAGAAAAATAACATTTCAGTTGTCTAACCCCTACACTGAGAGAATGCTTACTATACTGCATAATAAAAGACAACTGAAAAAGACGTCACTGATGACGACTGCTGATAAGGCAGCCCAGAGGAAAAATCTTTTTCTCATAATAGTCTTTTCTTTAACTCTTGAGAAAACACTAAGATCTCAATGGTATATCTTTTTGAGATCATTCCAATCAGAATTGTTGCTCCTAAAATCCCTTAGGAGAAAAGGATGAGATAAAGAGAGATTGCGGTTTTGAGACTTGGGTAAGAAAAATGGATACTGAATTGAGATTACAACAGGAGATTGGAAGTCACAGATGAGATCTCATCATTGTACTGTATCTTTTTGAGTTCATTAATGTCTTGCTTATTGCTCCTAAAAAGCTGTTGGGAGCTATGGGGAGATGTTTGTATTACATTGCTGTTTATGCTTGGAGAACCTTGCTAGAGGCTTGCCCTGTGCTGGATTTGAACCCCGCTCCTGCTGTTCAAAGGGCAACTTATTGTGTTTAAATAGAGTACAATTTTCCTTTACTTAAAAGAGGAGAAATACCATATCCACATTTAAAGTCCTCAAAATTCTACTCAAGTAAAAGGTATAAAAGTATTCCATAGTGAATGTATTTAAGGATCAAAAGTAAAAGTGCTTATTCTGTATGACAGATACATGTTGTATCTCAGTTCTTGCGTGTATTCAGTCCTTAATGAATTAATTTCTAAATATCATGTCAAAGTATTGGGTGTTCCAGTTATGCTGGCTGTGACTACCTTAACAAATTAGAAAGCATGACATTTGAAAGTGCCTTATTTTCAATGTCAAAATTTATTTATTTTCAGTAACTTGTAACAGATAATTAACAATAAATACAATAAGGATTTGAAATTAAGGGGAGTAAAAGTACAGACCCCCATAAAAAGAAAATACTCAACCTCAACATTTAACATAAGTAAAGTACTTTAGTAAAATAGCCCCTAAGTAGGGTCACTAAGACAAAACTGAGAAATATCTTGGAGCTTTTTTTCTGATCCATATTCTGGAGGCTGAAATTACACTTATTTAAGATCCTGTACAGATCACATCTTTTGATCAGAGTAAGACAGAGATGAGTTTTTGCTCCTGAGGCCAATATGAGAAAAGAAGGAAACAACTATGAGATCTCATCTTGGGTTTTGCTTTCCTATGGGAGTTTACATTTATTAATTTGTTAGTTGTGATTTTGCGCACCTTTTTTTTTGACATGTGCACCAGGGAAGCAGGACTGAATAAGTACTATCTTTGGGTGTGGTATCCAGTTCTAGTTTAGTATTCAAAGCATCTCAAAGCAAAGCAAGCCTGAGCGTTTTTCACACACAGGGATTACTTTGACAAATGATCATCAATCATTGATGAATATCTTGAAAGCAAATCAGTTTTAATGAAAATTTATCTCATTTATTAAGTATAAGTGAATGTAAATCTATGCTGGTAAGATGGCATTGCTTTTCACTTTAGACAAATGAAGAAAACCCAAAGTGTCTCATGTCCTTAACCAGAAATCTTACTTCCCACGCAGCTGTTGAAATGACGTGTCCAGTTGTCCAGTTCATGCTGGTGTCTTATATAGTCATCCAATTGGTGCTAGTTGAATCTTGTGTCATTGAAAAATTAGCCATATGCTTTTTAAAATATAATCTCATCAGTTATTGTTGTTTTATGGTTTTATTTTTGCAGGACAGTGCTGAGATGTTTGGTTCAGAGCCCTGAGTTGTTTCTCTAAATGTGTCAGTGTCTGGACAGTTTTCACAATATTGCTTCTCCTCTTCCTTCACTGAAAAATTGTATCTAAAGGTCGCCTTTGTGGAAAACTGTGAGTCCTCAAGATCGTGAAATGTGCCTTTCTGTGATTGACAATGGGGAGTTTTGGTAAGCAAGTTGAAATCAACATTCATTTCTAAAAATGCAGAAAGTTAAATGTTTTGTGTCATATGGCTAATACAACATATCAGCACATATTTTTTTAAAAATCTGAAGGACTTTTGTGTAAAAATGCAAACTGATTAAAATTTAAAACTGATTATATAATATTTATACTTTCAAAGGATTAAAAACTAGTGTGTATTGTAAAACCGCAGTTATACATAGTACAGTGTATCAGGTATTGTACATATGTAATTACTAACAGTGTTGGGCAGTAGCGTCGCTAAATGTAGCGCCGTTACTAGTTTAACTACATTTCTCAGTAGCTTGGTGGTAGCTTCGCTCTTTTCTGAATCCAATAGCTTTTCAGAAATGAAGCTCTTTTATTGATGGAGTAGCGCGGTAGCTTCCACACACGCTACATTTTCCCATTTCTGAAGGATCAGTATGTGATGCCGCCGCCACACACGGACCTGTACGTGCAGCTGGCAGAAGCGCTTCCGTGTGACGGTGACATCACGTACCGATCCTTGGGCTGATGTCTGCGAGAAGGATCAGGGTCCAGTCTGGACACCTCTTCCTCTAGTGTGGAGGAAACTTTGATATGTAGAGGCAGAAACTTGTTTCCATGAGATGAGCTGCCATGAATGTTTAGGTTGTTTAGGTTGTAATGGTGCCAGAACACAAATTCACATATAAACAATAAAAATATATAATTAATTAATAATGTAATAATTAAGTAACTTCATACAAACAACAATGGTTCTCCGTTTGGTGCATGAGGAAATACATTTCACTGCAATGATATGGCAGTAAGTTGGAGAGTTTCTGTGTGTCTGATTTAGCTCTCTCTCGCACACACACTGTTTGGAGCAGGTTTTAAGTCTTTCTTCTATTGTTACTGTGGAATGAAGTTAGTTTAATTTAAACTAGGCCTATACTGTGTGTGTGTGTGTGTGTGTGTGTGTGTGTGTATAATGACCTAAGTATGAAATATTAAAAAATGAATAGTCTAAGTAGCTTAGATGTAACTAAGCTATTTCTGCCCCATTGCTGTAGCTTAGCTTGCTGGGGGGTAGCTTCTGTGTAGTGAAGCTTCATTTAATGTAGAGTAGCTAGTAGCTTAGCTCACTACATTTTCCAAGTAGCTTGCTTGCTTACTAAACAGTGTTACATATTTCTTTAGACAAATTCCTTTGGTGGCTGACGGAGATATCATAACTTAATTATGATTTACATTGTAATTATGTAGAATTTAAAATTATAATTTCAGTTATACCTATAAAACAATGTAGCGTGTATGTAGCAAGTCTTACCTCAACTAATAAAGATTAACAGTTTTTACTTTGATGCATTAAGTAAATCTCAGTCTAAAACAGCAATGTGTTACTTATAAACAGGATGACCCTGGAAGACTTCTGTAAGTTCTACACGGATCTTGACATCTGCTGCCTGTGTCCCGACTTCCTTGATGGAAGTTCTTCTTGCCATTGGAAGACCTCCTTCTACGAGGGCGCTTGGGTGGCAGGAACCACGGCTGGAGGATGCATGAAAAACCTCGGTACTTCAAGGATATCTGGACTAAACTGTCGCCTCAAAAACAGTATATGGAGACTGGAGGGTGGCAATTTTAAAAAATTTTTATTTTTATTTTTCCTTTATTAAAGAATAATTAAAATTCATTAGAGAAAAGCAATTAATCAGTTTATAAAAGCTTTATAAACGTATTAATTTAAAAATGCTCCCGAAAAACCTAAAAGCCCATGTCTATCTCCATCCATGCCTGAAGTTTTCATCTAAAAAATATAATAATTGATGATAATTAACCTCTTTAAAACTTTCATTCATCCCTATCTTGCCTAACTGGTAACATGCCAAATTGTTTTACTCATTGCCATCCAGAGAGCTTCTGGACTAATCCACAGCATCGGGTCAAGATTGACAAACTACTCAGTGAATGTTCTACGAAACAGGGTGAAAAAAACATGCTGGTGTCTCTCATGCAAAAGCCTAACAAGAGGAACAGGCGTCTTGTCCAAAATCTTCACATTGGATTCTCTGTATTTGAGGTAAATATTACTGTTTGTTGTTTCTGTCACAGTGTGAGGACTATTAGGGATGTGTCATGTGTAGACATGTGGGAGTATAAAATAGTCAAATTAATTGAATATAAAAATTAAACCATTCTGTGTCATCCCAGTGAACGAATAAGGTCCAGTGTGTAGTATTTACAAACACATACTTTCAATATATTGAATATTCTGCCAATAAATCCCCCTAAATGTTACATACTAGACCTTTGACAATATATATCTGTAACAAGTTCATGAAGTAATTTGTGCAGCATATTCCAAGTCTCAAGTACATAATTTTGGTAAACAAACCTCCACAAATGATCATTAAATTCCATTATTTTTATTTGCATTACTTACATGTTTTCACATTGTCATGACTTCACTTGAACTAATTTAGTTTAGTTACTAACATGAACACTTTCCCTCTTATTTCTTCCAAGGTGACCAAAGAAGTAAGTAACATTTTAAAACCAATCTTTATACACATTACATGCCTAAATTGTGCTGCTATGGAGATTGATATAAACTGCATAGCAATGAAAAATCTATTTATTACTGCTATTACAGTACGAGGCACAGAGGGGGAAGTTCCCAGCCTCTTTCTTCAGCAGATACAAACCTGTTGCCCAAACTAAAACCTACATGAATGCACGTGCAGTGATGGCGTTCATAATGCTGACACCAGGCGAGTACCTGATTGTGCCGTCCACCTTCAAACCCAACGAGACAGCCTCCTTCATCCTGACCATTCTCTCCAAGGCAGAGACCCATGTCCAGTAAGTCACTAGCAACTCTCCAATTAGCCTTTACAATTCTTTTTGTACAATGAATCTACAAGCTAGCAGGCCCTGGTCTCTCCACTGTAATCACAGCGTGGTATTAACCCTCCATCATACTCCTGGTAAGACAGTGAACAAGCTGACCCCTAAAAGTTAGTAATTGTAAAAACAGTACAGAATTTCAAATTGAAAGAAGTATGTTCTTAATGTGTCAGTGCTCAACACTGGCTACAAGTAATGTACTGATGTCTCTTGTGTTTCCTCTCAGAGAGCATTCTGGTGGCCTTATGGAAGTAGATGGAAGATCTGTGCAAGGTTTGCAAATATATTGTCAATGTTCATATTATTTTGCTTATGTGTTACGTGTTGGTTGCTATTTTCGTTACACTGAAAGCATGTGACACGTAGGTATTGTGTGCATTAATTTAGCCCTGTGTATTAATTTAGCTGGTGCTGAAAGCACAATCTTCTCAATCTGCAGTCCATACAAGTGAAAAAAATATAGAGCAGATGACAAAATTAAGAGAAACTTGTTCCGTCAATTGAGTGCCTTAAAGCAATAGTTAAAATTGTTGGAACATGTGCTTAATTGAGTATCGCTAAGCCACGCCTTGAATACAAACTGACCAATCACAGAGCAGTATAGGACTTGCTCTAACTGAGGTCCAACACTTTCATGGCTGTGCTTCATTGACTCTAATGCAAAAGGAGTCGTTTTCTAGCTTTTTTTCGCTGTATTTTTCCAAGACATGGTGAAACACTGTTCCTGGGGCACTTGCAATAATTACAGTCGCTACCCAGAGAGGTTGATAGGAGAAGTATGATTTATGCTCTTTCCAAAACCTAAAATAAATCCAGAAGAATTTTGGCTGTGGATTGTTCCTAATGTGATGTTAGTTAGCTAACGCTGCTTTTAATGACTGTAATAATGAATAGAGGCCTACCCAGCTTTACAGCAACAGTGTTGATCCTTAATATCATTGTCTTTTGTCTCAATCGTTGGGGGATGCAGTGGTTCACTTATACTGTGTGATTGGTAGGCTTTAGCTTCTATCTTTAATTTTTTTCACGTCCGTTTGAGTCAGTTTGAGTCAGTTGGACTGCCTGAATACAACCTTCAAATGTACATTGCAACTGCAAAAGTGTCTGCTTCTTTGTAAGATTGTTTTTTCCAACAAATTTGACAATATTTCTCGGGGAGAGCAGTAATAGGCAGTGGCAGCGCCAACAGTTTGTCGGACTTAGTGACAGTAACTAAGGGGGAGGAGCTTAGCTAAGGGTCAATTGTTGTGCTGTAGTCTCCAACAGTGTATAATTCAGTCAATTTTACTATGCAAAGTGGGAACAGTCACTCATAGACTCCACAGGTAACATAGACATACGATATAAGGTATAAGTTAGTGAGCTATATAGCTGCTGCAGGTCAGATTTTGTTACTTCCTACTACTACTACTACTTCGAATCTTTGTGCTAAGCTAAGCTAACTGCTTTCTGCCGTAGTTTAATATTTAGCGAACAGACATGAGTGATATCAATCCGCTTATCTAACTCTTGGCAAGAATGCAAAAAGTATTAAGTATTCCTTTAATTAAAATATGAAATTGAATGTCTTTTTAATCTTTAAACTCATGTCTGTACTGTATTTTCTATTTGTGCTATGTCATTCTTTTTGGTGCTGTCTTCTGTGGGGTTACTGTTCTGCTGGATTTAAATAAAGAATCGGCAGATTACTCAATAATGAAAAGAACAGTTAGTTGCACCCCCAATATAAATCATGCCTAAACGTTTGTCCTATGTTGGCCAGGAAAGAGGATCAGCAAGGACATGCGGAGTTTAATGGATTCATAACAATGGAGAGCTTCATTATTCTAGTCCTTCACTTCAACTGCATGAACTGTAAGTAAATTTGGACAGCTGATGACAATAGACAACACAGTAAATACATCGTCTTTAAAATGCAATACAAATTTCAAAAACATTTTTACTACCAATTACCTGTAATATGGTTCCTGGCACTATATATACCAAGGCTAATTGAGGATGAGGCACAGCTGGGTAGTGAGATGACTGAGTCAGGAACAATAGTGAAATACTCAATGGTGGCTGCTGGTGGGAGGCACAGACATGTTAGAGTGCAAGACTTCCATTGGCAATTGTACTTTAAAACAAAGTATTTGTTTCACCACCAGTGTGTTGCATGTACTAAATTTTTTGTTTTCTGTGATGAAATAATCAAGCTAAATAGCAAACTAGTACTACCGATACATCGAAGAACATTAATAATCTATCCCTCCTTAATTTGCAGTGGATGTACCTTTTGATGTGCACTTAACCTGACACAGGAGATGAACTGCAGGATTCACATGGAATTATTTAAATTAATTAATAAACTCAGCAGATGATGAGTTTATTGGTGGTATGAAAAAACAATGCATTTACCTCTGGCTTTGTTAATGGAAGGTGTTAAAGAAGAAATAAAGTTAGCCGGGTGTCGGGTGTGATGAAGTTGTTCTCTGAGACTCATGATGAATTACACAGCCAAATCTCAAGAAACCTTTTTTAGTCCACAATTTATCTCTCGTCTTAATGTCTCTAGTATTTTTCCTACCAGATCAACTTTAACTGGCCTAAATCTGAACAGCCAATCTACTGATGTTTAGACTCCAATGCCTTACCTGCCTCTATTTGCCCTGTAATCTATGGAGACAGTGAATTGTATAAACATGTAAGACTCCAAGAAAACCCTGTTATCTACTAAACTGGTGGCCCAGCTACAGTTTCTCCCTATCAGCCAGCTGTCATCACCTTGACAAGGAGAGAGACAGAGGCAAAGAGCTATGGCTGAGAAGTTCAGTGAGCCTCTATTTCTGGGCTCTGCTATTGACCTCATGCGTGACTTTTACCTAAGCCCTATCTCTCTTACCTGTCACCTGAATTAAGCCTAATCAGAAAGTTCCCCCAAAGAAGGGGTGTATGTAATTGCCTTCTCCTAAAGTCCTCTTTCCTGTGTCTCTCTCTTCCCCACTGCATAGTAGAGTGGCAGAACAAATGGAAGGAAAATTCACAGTTTAGCAGACGCATGCCACTAATTTTGAAATGGCAATTTGCAACTTTGCTTACCTGTTACAGACAGTACAGCTAATGTAGGAATATACTCTATGCCATGACATGTAGCTAATATATTTTACCATTTTAAGTTTCCATGTTATGGTTAAATGTACCTCATTTTATGTGAATTAGGGATACTGTATTTTCTGTTTTATTGTTAGGTGGGAATAATTTTTTTAGCCATGCTAGCATCAGTCAGTCTACCACTTTGGTCGAATTGAAGTATCTCAACAACTATTGGATGGACTGCAAAGAAATTTTGTACAAGTAAGTTTAATGCATTTTAGTTTTTTCGGTGGGAATAAGGCTTTTGTATTCTAGAAAATAAAGACATCCAAACAGTATTAGTGTATATGAACAGTTATTTCATTTCTTATAAATGCCTTGCAGGCAGCTTGAAATGTAGCATTCCCCTTCGAGGGAACTCGAACTGCGTCGGTGACGACACTATGGGAACGCCTCTGGGCGTGGCAGGGCTGAAACATGAATGAAACTACTCCAATCCTATTGGTGTTGCTAGAACAGTAGCGTGTGACGGCGTAACTGGAGGCGTATGCACGCCGGCACACAGGACACATTAGCCTTTTTCTATTCAGCAGGCACTCTGGCATGTTGGAAAACCAAAGCTACAGCAAAAACCGAAGAACCTCTTACCTGGAAGGAAGTCAGATGGCAGACAGAGAGATGGCTGTGGAACGATTCAGGCGGTGTGTTTTTCCATGCCCGCCCTACATCACAGCTGGGGACACTCATGCCCTGTGTGTTTCCTGTCTGGGGATGCCGCGTGCCCAGACAGCTCTCGAGGTGGCTGCTTGCGGCTATTGCGAGGCCCTGCCCCTGAGGGTGCTGAGGTCCCGTGCGGCTCTCTTTTCCAAAGACGGGAGGAGGTGCTCTCCCCGTGGCTCGCGCCTGGCGGTCGCTGAGGCGGCGCGGTGGCTTCGGTCATGGGGCGCCCAGCGCTACATCTCCGAGGGCATCGGGACTGCAGAGGCTTTTTCCCGTTCCTCGTCTGCTGACTCCGCCACCTCTCTTCCCCGTTCGGGAGTCCGTTCTCGGCTTCTCCGCCCGAGGTATGAGTTTGGGGAGGCTTGTACAGTCTGATTCTGAGGAGCTAGACGTGCTTAGCATCATGGAGGATGACTTCCGGGAGCCGGGCCGGGAAAAAAAAGCTGCTCTGCACGGCTGACTGTGTCCCCTCTGCTGGACTACAGCAGCATGACAGAAACTAAGCAGCATGGCTAAAGAGAATGGAACGATGCCTTGAGGGGAGGAAGCGCTCGCAAGCTATCTTTCTCCCACCCTCGCTTCGTTCCTTCAGATGTCGGCGCTCCCCACCAAGCTGTGTCGGACGAAGCGTACCAGGCCGATCTTCTCAAGACTATGACCTACTGGGAGGTCCCTCTGAGGAGGACCTGGCTCCATAGAGCTACGGACTTAAACGCTCCGTGTTACTAAGCATTGGCTGCTCCACGGCAGCATTGGTGGCTACGGAGGACATCCAGGGGAAGGAGAAGGCTTTTCTCCTGGATGTGCCCCTCTCTCCTACTGGCCTGTTTGGTGAGGCGGTGGATGCTGTCATCAGCAGGTTTCAGCACGCTGAAATGCAGGGAGAGGCGTTTGAGCAATATTTCCCCCGCCGGTCTGGGTCCAGGACAGCGACGGCTGAAGAGAGACAAACTCGGCCCTCGTCTAGCTCCTACCGCCGGAGCCAGAAGCGAAGCGTCGCTTCCCATAGTCCCCCTCAACAAAACCGGGACGCGAGGCGGCGCTCGCGCCCACAGCCCCCCCAGAGGCTGACCGAGGTCCCCTCCCTCGTGGCGGCTCAGGCAACAGGCGCTGGCAGGTCCCTCTGAGGAAGGACCTGCTGTCTCAGGTGCAGGGCCAGGTCTTTCACCCTTGCCCTGCCCTATGGAGACTGTGGGTCTGGCCACTGAGGGGGCCCAGTTCCTGGAGGCGGGCCTCACGGCAGGAACAGTCGAGACGCTGCTCAGCTCCAGAGCCCCGTCCACGAGAAGGATGTACGGCCTGAAGTGGAATGTGTTTGCCACCTGGTGCAGAGAACGAGCGGTGGACCCAGTTACCCCCTTCGAACCCCTGGAGTCGGCTGAGGCCAAGCACCTGACCCTTAAGATGGCCTTTCTCATCACTATCACCTCTCTGAGGTGGGTGGGGGATCTCCAGGCACTTTCGGTGTCTCCGCAATGCCTGGAGTTTTCCCTGGGGAGGGTCAGAGCCATCCTGCACCCCTGGCTATGTCCCTAAGGTCCCATCCAGGTTGGCAGGGTCCACGGTGCTGCAGGCACCACCTCATGTGACGGCGAAGGACGGGAGACTTCATCTGCTCTGCCCTGTCAGAGCACTGAGTATTTACACTCTGAGGTCTTCCCGGTGGAGGAAAGCAGACCAGTTGCTGGTGTGTTTCAGGTCCCCCAAGGCTGGGCTCCCCGCTTCCAAACACACGATCAGCAACTGGATGGTTCAGACTATTTCACTGGCCTATCAGGTGCGCGGGTTACCTTCACCTAAGGCCTTAAGGGCGCACTCTACTCGAGGCATGGCGGCTTCTAGGGCCCTCCTCACAGGGGCGTCGCTCCAGGATTTGTGTGATGCGGCTGGCTGGGCCATCCTTCACACCTTCATCCGGTTCTACAGTCTGGACCTTCGTTCTGCACCCGGCACCCATGCGCTCTCCTCCTAATCGTGCCGTCAGGTTCTGCACGCTGGGGGCAGGCGGGGTTTCAGCGCGGCCTAAGTGGGTATTCTCGTTCCCATAGTGTCGTCACCGACGCAGTTCGAGTTCCCTCAAAGGGGAACGTCTCGGGTTACGTATGTAACCCTTGTTCCCCAAGAAGGGGAACGAGACACTGCGTCGGTCTGCCACACCTCACCCCGCCTGGAGTGCCTTGCTTCATAGAAAAGGGCTAATGTGTCCTCTGTGCCGGCGTGCTTATATACGCCTCCAGTCACGCCGTCACACCAATAGGATTGGAGTAGTTTCATTCATGTTTCAGCCCTGCCACGCCCAGAGGTGTTCCCATAGTGTCGTCACCGACGCAGTTCGAGTTCCCTCGAAGGGACAAGGGTTACATACGTAACCCGAGACGTTTTCTTGGGCTTATTCAACATGAAATACACACAAATTCATTTTCTACATGAAAGTCAGGATAAAAAAAAAACAGCTAAAGTAAGAAAGTGTTGCCTTATTAACAGACTTAACAAGTAGAACAATCTTTCTGTCTATCATTTTCAGTGCATACTTTGCTACTTTGGAGACTTTGTTGGATTTGATTGTGGTAGGTAGGTAAAATCCATAAAAATCAGAGCTCCAAGAGACAAAAAAAAAAAACAAGCATCATATATGTATCAATTTGCATTTATTAATTTAAGGAAAAGCAATACAGTGTAAATTCTTACAATAGTAAATTTGAGGAATGTATTTTTCTTGTACTCTTTTATTTTTTTAGCTTTTTATAATGATTGAACATGTTATTATGATATATGTATACAATACAAAATCCCAGTAAATGTAGAGTAACATCCCAGATCACCACTTAAAACATATTATTTTGATTCCTGTGATTGCTCAAAAACAATTTTACAACATGCAGAGAAGCAGAAATGCTGTTGCAATGAAGGAATTTTCTTCAGCAATAATTAAATAAGACTAACATTTATATTAACGAATCACTCAAGTTGTAATTATTACTTAAAACATAATTGAATAATTACTGAATATTTATAACTGATGATTATTAATTGATTAGGATGCTAATTTCATATTTAGGATTTGATTAGGATGCTAATTTCATATTTAGGCTGGTTGTTGTAGTATTTGCAGCAAAGTTGTCAGCAGAGCAGCCAGGAATATGGCTGTTGGGTGTTCTGCAAGCACTGCTCCCCGACTTGTGGTGTTTGCTAGAAATCAAAGCCAAAAACGTACATTTACTTAGACTGTTACTACATTTATGGTTGAAAATGGATAAAATACAATATTTTGTACCCCTGTGTATAGAATTAAGTATTTCTACATCATGGAAGTACAGTGTGTAAATTGGTATTGTAAATGAGTTGTAGTTGCTCACCTTGTGCTGTTGTCTTTGTAGTCACGATTGCACTTGTGGTTCCTATGGATGAGATTAAATTTAGTTAGACGGTGCACTGTAAAGTCAGTCAACACCCAACAGGGTTACTTCATTTGCTCTACAACCACTTTATTGCATATCTTTAACTGGCTGCTAATTAAATTGGTACAGACAACAAACAATAAATATTAAATCATGTGGGGAACTGGCCTGCTGTGGTAGCCATGCTAAATAAATACAAAGTGTATAATCATGATGTTGCCATAAAGATTCCCATTGTCATTGACATCAACTGTGGGGCATTTGCATCCTCTTGTTGCTGAAAAATACAGGGCCACCTTGAGGTTAAATAGCTGAGATCCCTACTAGTCTTCTAGTATCTTCAACCAAGTCCAGTTGCAATTGATTTTAACCTTGCTTGGATAACTATCTGTCACGGTTTGGCTTTCCCCCCTCCGCTGTTTCCTCCCTCCCAGTATTTTCTGTTTGTGAGCTGTCTATCAATTCACTGTTTTGGGGATCAGCTACTTACCTGTCTGTCCGCTCTCCACCACTGTCCATTGGATCACTTGAAAGCATCTTTTGTTCAATAAAACTCAGTGTTTGATTCTAACCTTTGCCTCCGTGCTCCTTGATCCTAGTTTAACTCAGCCTAACGCTATCACTGCACAACTGAGATACTTTCTGTTCAGAGTGAAAGCTAGTGGGTCTTTCTGAGTTACAGTTCATTACTATGTGTTTAGTCCAGTTTACTTGGTCAGGATGTTTTGGTTGTTCTTATTGTTAACTTTCCATAAGCCAGTATATAATCCTGATATACAATTAGAATGAATCTTTTGCCCTAACCTTAGATGATTTACCTGTCTCAATTGTTTCTTCAAAGCAAACATAAGACACGACTTGATACAAGATTTGATGTTAAGTTGCAGAGCTTGTTTTTTTTGTCATTGCAGTGATTACTTATCAGTTAGCTGTAGAGTTGCACCACATAATGCAAGTAGGTTCCTATTACTAGAAATACAGTATGCCAAAGTGTGCACATAAAACCTACTGTCACTCAATACACACAAAAGATATATATTTTTACCCTGTGTTGATGCACCAGTGCTGCTTGCAGTTGATGCAGCAGTGTTTGTGGTGCTTTCGGAGCTGGGAGGTGCAGTGGTTGGGTCGGTTCTGTTGGTGGTCAGGCCCAGACCCAGTCTGTCCAGTTCTGATTGCAGCTGCATGTTCACCCAGGTCTGAATCACAGTATCATTCTC